TAGTGGTAGTAGTCGTAGTCGTAGTCGTAGTCGTAGTCGTAGTAGTAGTAGTAGTAGTAGTCGTAGTAGTAGTAGTAGTAGTAGTAGTAGTAGTTGTTGTTGTTGTTGGTTGTTGTTGGTCTAGTGCAAAGATGCCAGTCATAGTAGTATCACGAATAATATGACTAGTCATTAGTTCGTACAGCGATACTCGTATGCTGGTAAGCATAACAATCATACATATTGTATTAATCACATCACTAGTAATACTAAGACAGACGCACCATAGCAACAAGCAACTAGTCGGAGGGGGTGGGAGGCAAGAGGGGGAAGGCATGGGGAGGAGGGGGAAGCTGACTATGATGATGATGACGATATGATGATGATAGGATGGTGATGATGATGGCGATGGTGATGGTGATGGTGATAGTGATGGTGGTGTCGGTGGTGATGAGGATGAGGATAATAATGAGGATGAGGTTGAGGATGGGGATGATGATGATAAGAATGAAGATGATGTCGATGCTGATGATGATAATGCTGTTCATGATGATGATGATGCTGTTCTTGATGATGATTGTGATGATGATGCTGTTCTTGATGATGATGATGATGATGATGATGATGATGCTGATGCTGATGATGATGATGATGATGATGATGATGATGATGATGATGATGATGATTATGATGATGCTGATGATGTCGATGATGATGATGATGATGATGATGCTGTGGTGGTGGTGGTGGTGGTGGTGGTGTTGGTGATGATGATGATGATGATGCTGATGATGTTGATGATGATGATGAGGAGGAGGAGGAAGAGGAGGAGGAGGAGGACGAGGAGGAGGAGGACGCGGTGGAGGTGCACGAGGTGGATGGGGGAGGGGAGGGGAAGGTGGTGGAGAAGAGGGCGGATAATGCCAGGAAGCGGTTGGATGATGTGATCCTTTGCCACAGTTTGTAAATGGGGCTGCCGACGGGCAGAGGGGGCGGGCCTTCACAGTAGGCTCAGAAGGCCTCCGGCCTTCTGAGAAACTGCCTAAGCCTTCTGAGGAGGCCCGTCCCCATCTCACTTCCGACTTCGGCGCGCCGCCGACTGGAGTCATCACCCAGTGGGGGTACAGTCGGGGCGCTGACTAAGGAACCATTTTCGTTGGGGAGGAGCTCGGAGTTCCTTGATTGTTTTACAGTTTGCCTTGGGTTTTCCTTCAGTTTTCCACGGGGAATCGAAGTTTAAGTTAAGGGAAACAGGGGCCTCGTTCCTTGTTTAGGGTTCCTTAGGTCAACGCCCCGACTGTATGGTGGCGGCGGCTAGCTATCTAGAGCGTGTGCTGCCCTCTGCCCCGACTTGAGCTGTGCGCACGAGGTGGTGGTGGGAGGGGGGTGGCCCTCTCGGAAGGCGGGGGGCGTCTCGGCAGGCGCGGGGCTTTCTCGGAAGGGCCCGGAGGCTTCTGAGGAGGCGTCCGAGGCGCCGAGATTGCTTCTTGCAAGGCGCCGCCTCACATCGCGCCACCCCCCTTGCAGGCGAGCCTCCTCCTCGTCCTCCTCCTCCTCCTCCTCCTCCCTCCTCCTCTCTCCTCCTCCCTCCTCCTCCCTCCTCCTCCCTCCTCCTCCTCCCTCCGCCTCACCCCTCCTCACTCCTCCTCCCTCCGCCTCACATCGCTCACTGCTTCTTGGAAGGCGCGCGCCGCCAGCGACTGCAGAGGGCGAGGACTGAGCGGAACGAGCGCCGGGAGCGTCAACTGACCACCCCTCGCAGGAGGAAGCGCGGCATGCACATGCATGTCGACGGTCCGCGCGGATCTCTTGGGATCGGCGCTGGGCGCCGCCCTTGGTGCGCCAGGGAGGAGGGTCCAGCGCGGATCCAAGGACTTCGCGCGGACCGTCCAAAGTTTATGTTTATGCAGTCTTTATGTCTTCTAGCCTTCCCCATCCCAGCTAGCCAGGCTCATCTGGGCCTGAGATCGGTGTACATTCCATCCTGGCTTGGCCAGGGATGCGCAGACACTGGCCCTGCCCTGAGATCCGACGCTGCGAAACACATTGCAACATCGCGAAAAATCACGCCCAGCGCGCCAGATCCCATGTTTCCGCTGATTTTCGTTCTCGAGCCGGACCGATCTGAGCCGGACCGATCTGTGACTACCCCGGGGCCCGAAACTGGGCACAGTCGCCTGGAGTGAAAAACTTGCGACGCCCAGCTTTGAGTGGAAACCCAGGATGGGCCCAGCCAGGATTCATGGAGAGGTCAGCCGACGTCCCCAAGAACGAGGCAGAACGGAGTGTCGGAGGTGGACAGACCTCCTACCTTGACACGCCGATTCAGGAATTGGCCGTTCTCGGTTCGCGAGAGGGCGTCGCGGCCGTCATTTTTGCGGGTCCAGGCCCGTCGGTTTCGGCCCCAGGCCGTTTTCTTTAAGGGGAGGTCTATTAGAGGGAGGTCCTGGCATAAACTGAAGTTCTCGGTGGTCCATGTTTACGCTCACACCGTTGTTTCTTCTTCGACGTCGGCATGTCAGAGTTGTCGGCTTCTGGGGTCCGTTTCCCCTTTAGGGGGGCCGTTTTCACTAGGGGGAGGCTTATTAAAGGGAGGTCTGTCCACCGCCGAGAGCTGCAGGGCGAGAGGCGCCTGTGTCTCGCGACCCATGCCTCCTGCATTCCTGTGGCAACGGGGCCCTCGGAGGGGTCTTGTGTCCTCTCCGCGTGTCCTGCCCAACCAAGTCCGACTGTACGTGGACTGGCCAGCCGACGTCCCCGGGAACGAGGCAGAGCGGAGCTGCAGGGCGAGAGGCGACGGCGTGCCGCGCGCGCGCGAACGCCAGCGGCCGTCCGCCGACGACGACGACCTCGCGCTCGTCTCCGACACCAGGGCGCCCCTCGCCCCGCGCCTCGGGGCGGGGGGGGCGCACGGCCACAGCTCAGGAGGGAAACAAAAAAAACACAGACGCAATGAATCGTCGATCCCCAGAAACTAGGGGAACACATGGGCAGTTGGGGGGGGGAAAACCAAAAGGCCCAGGAAATATGGGAAAATCTGGGGAGTCCTGTTATCTGTGTCTCTTTAGTTGTGCGTCCCAGGGCCCCCTCAACAGCACCCGGACCCGCACGCGCCGTGAAAAGATAGCGACGGAAGGTTTTTGGCCGCTTTCGGCGTGCGGGGGCCCTCACCAGGCCCTGGGACCGTCATGAAGCATTTTGGAGCATTTGTTCGAGCCACTTCGAGCCCTCACAGTTCTGAGCACTCTCGAGACATTTGAGAGTATGTTCTGACTATTTTTATTTTTTCCCCCTAGATCCCCCTGCAGGGGGACAGGCCCCGGGACCGTCGCGAAGCATGACAGGCCGCGCCTGGGGAAGGGGTGCAGGCCTCCCGGGTCTGCCGAGCGGAGCGCGCCGGGGGGGGGGGGCCAGCGCAGGTCCAAGAGATCCGCGCGCAGTCCGGAAGTGTACTCCAGATTTCGTAATAGAGGGAGGGGGGTCTCATTTCGGGGGGGGTCTCTTCCAGGCTATCTTGGAGGGCTTGGGGGGGTCTGGGGACGATGTCTTGGAGGGTTCTCCCACGGGGGAGGTCTGAAATGGCTTGTCTTGGAGGGTCCAGACCCCCTCCCTTTAATTACGAAATCTGGAGTATGCTTGATGTAGTTTTCGATCCTCTGCAGTCGGGGCGCTGAAGAAGGAACCCTCATCGTTGGGGAGGGGCTCGGTGCTCCTTGATTGTTCTACTTCTTGCCTCAGTTTTTTTATATATATATATATATATATATATAATATATATATATGAGGTTTTCCATTGGACATCGAAGTGTAACTTATGGGAAAAAGGGGCCTCGTTCCTTATCTAGGGCTCCTTAGGTCAACGCCCCGACTGTATGCCTGATGTAGTTTTCGATCCTCTACCCACGCTTCTATCCGGGCGTGGCGGAAGGGGATGCACAGCACGCGGGGGGAGCGTCGGGATGTGAAGGTACTGGTCGCCCCTCTCCTGCTGCTCTCGCTCTGCGCCGTGTTCTGCTTGGTAGTTCTGCCAAGGAGTGCCAGTGCGATGTCCGCTTCAACTGTTGGCCCCCTGGGGCGCCATGTGCCTACCGGCGTCATGGCATACGAGTTTCATGTTCTAGGGGGCACGCGCGCGACAGCGCTCAGCGCCAGCGGGAGTAAGTACTCAGGAAGGATGCTCGTCAGCATCTGGAGAACAGACAGACGATGTGCAGGACGGCCAGAAAAGACTGGGACAGTGGAGGTGATTGGTTGGGACAGGAGGGGAGGAAGAGGAGGAGGAGGAGGAGGAGGAGGAGGAGGAGGAGGAGGAGGAGGAGGAGGAAAAGGAGGAGAGCAAAGACGGAAACGGATAATGATAAAGGATAGCGTGGACGAGCGTTATGGCAACTACGATGTCGACGTCACTCATGTTGGTGGTGCTGCTGCTTATGCTGGTGGTGATGGTGGCGATGATGGCGATGGTGCTGGAGATGATGGCGATGGTGATGATAGATGGTGGCTAACTGCCTCGCCGGCCCTGGCCGGGCCTGTCCTTGGTCCAAGATGGGCCTGGCCAGGGTCGGCGAGGTGTTCGGCGATCGTCCCCCCAGGATCGGTGTGCGCGCCGCCTTGGCCGAGCCAGTGGCGCATGGGCACCGAACCTGGGCCGAGGACAGGTACAGTCAAGGTTGGCGAGGCGGTCGGCGTTGCCGCCCCCCGGCGAGGAGGCCTCGCCGAGAGGTGCCCCCCCTGATGCACCCTGAGCCTCGGTACGTACGCCTTGCTTGCACGCGTGCGTTGTATTGTATGGACGTGTGTGTAGTTACTGAAATCGTTGCGGCTCTCAAGATGCTGAAGCGGAAGGGTCGGTCATCGATATGGTTGCGAAGATGGCAGCGGAGCGCGCTTGAGGGCTATGGGATCCACGGAGGCCGCAGTGAGCGTCGAGGCGCTCGCTGCGGAGCTGTTGGACACTAAGCGGGAGTTCGGACGGATTCTCGAGGCAATGCGCTCGCCAACGCCATCGTAGGAGGTAGGGGCAAGCAAGAGGTGATTAGAACTTCAAGTTCAAGGCGTCAGTTGGCAACCAGAGACGCAAATGCCTCGAAGGCATGACACGTGGAGTGCAGCCAAGTCCTGTTCTACCAGCTGACGATGTACACAGAGGGGACCCCACTCGGCATCAGCAGGAAGGTCAAAAACCAGGATGCATCCGAGGCTTACCGCAGGTTTAGCTACCAGTACGTTCCGCAGAACATGGGCAGCATCCTGTCCACGTTGCTGAAGTTTTACTTCGACTTCGGCGGTGAAGTCGAGCTCCTCGATAACATGGCGAAGTTCGAGGTACCGATAGAGGAGTCTGAGAAGCTCTCGCGTGAGACGCTGACTGACAACATCCGCGCGGCTGTCCTGATTGCAGAGGCCCCCGAGGCTCTTCGTACTCGCGCGCTGCTGCCCATGCCAGGGGGGGGCACTGGATCAGGATCGAGGAGGTTGCGTCTCACTTCCTTCTCACTGAGTGGTCGATGCCGGGTGGGCCAGCGCCGATGCACATCGGCGCGGCCAACGGCAAAGGCGAGGGGCGCGGCGAGTCCAGAGGCAATTGCAAGGGCAAGGCATGCGACGCCCAGAGCAAGAGCAAGGGCAGGTTCAGTCATGGCAACAACCGCAATGACGGCGAGAAGAAGCTCCGATGTCCCTGCGAACGACGCTGCAAGTGGGGCCACAAGCAGAAATCCTGCCGCGCCCAGGTCAGCGACGTGAGCGCGCGAGGCGGCAGGGGCAGCTGGGTCGAGGGTCGGAGTGGACGGGCCGACGCGGGCGAGCCGCAGAAGCAGGTGCCAGCGCCCGACGATTCGGGCGCAACGAGCAACGCAGGTGCTGTCCTGTGCTGCGAGCGCGACGACGCCGCCCGGATCTTCGCGATCGTCGGGAAGGGCTGCCAGAGCGGCGCCGGCGCGGGGGAGGCAGTCGACGTCGCGGTGGGCACGTGCGCCCGCGAGTCCGCGCGCGCCCCGGACGAGCCCAGACTGCCCCATTTCGCAGGGCAAGACGCCGGAGATCAAGGCGGCCCGCGCCGCCCAACTGCGGCGCTTCGGCGACGAGCAGGCGAACTTGAAGACAGAGCGAAGCGACGAGATCAGCGTGAGATTCCATGTTGCAGAGCTGACGAAGGCGATCTTTGGTGTCAGCGGCATCGCGAAGGCAGAAGCGGGGGTGCAGTTCCGACCGGGCCGCTCGGCAGGCCTGCCCTCGTTCGCGCGGGGTTTGAGAAGGGGGCGATCACAGCGCGGGCTGACGTGGGCGTTCAGCCTGTTCTTCCTGGGGGCGACGGCGACGGGCCGCGTCGGCGCTGAGCTCGGCGCGGATGGATTGACCGCCGACAGCGCGGCGGCATCAGATCCAGCCCAGCACGTCGCGAACCAGGTGGGCCAGCCAGAGGGGCTGGTCGCTGGGCCCGGGGCCGCGGCGGCGACGGCGCCGAATGAGCCAACCAGAGCAGGGGGAGAGGCTCACTAGCCTCTCCACTGCCCATATTCAACGCGGCGCGCGGACGGCGCGAGGGAGCGAGGCCTGGGCGACGAGCGCAAGAGGATTGAGGAGATCGAGGGCGCCACAGTGATCCTGATCGATCATGCATTCGGCAAGGCGCGTCGCGACGATCAATCGCACCCCGCCGCCGCGGCAATCGACGACGCGGGCCTTAGCGCGGCTTCGACAAAGGAGGTGGAGACGCGTTTGCGCCGAAGTGCCCCGAGCGGCGCGCGGAGAAGCCGGGGCTCGAGAAGGTCTTTCTCCAGTGCGACAGGGAAAATGCGGCGAAGGGCGCGGCAGACAGGCTCGCGAGGGACATCGGCAACGAGGCAACGTTCAGGTTCACGCCGAAGACGAGCAAGGGGAGCAGCAGCGTGGCTTAGATACTCCATGTGTTTATTGGAGGCGCGGCGGGGGCCATGAGAAGGGCCGCGGGGGCGAAGTGCAGCATCGCGATTGAGCTGCGGCGCCCGTGGCTTGGATTGCGCAGCGCGCATCGCGGGCCCGTGATCGGTGTTTCCTCGCCCATCGACCCGACTGCGAGATGGCCTATGGGCGCAATCGCGAGAGGCGCCGCGACAGGAAGGCCCCGCCTCTCGGCGAGGCGGCCGCGCGGAGGCAACCTCTGCCGATCGCGGCCTCTTTCGAGACCGCATGCGGCCGCGGGATCTACCCGGGGCGATCGTTGGAGGACAGCGCCCGCATTTGCGGCGCGCGGCGCGGCATCGTCGCGGCGCGTTCCATCGGGGGGCTCGTCGAGAGCGAGCGCTACGACGAGCGGCTGCCCCTGGCCGCGAAGGGCGCCACGAGCGACTGAGGCGGCGAGCGCGGCGACGCCCGCGGTGGACGGCCCATCGGTCAACGTCGACCTCCCGCAGCCCGCCGGGCCTCCGAGACCTGCGGGCGCTGCGCTTGAGGAAGGGCAGCCAGGCCTACCGGCGCATGAGGCGAGGTTCGAAAAGCCGCAGGAGGGCCTCCAGGAGGGCCCGGGAGGCGCTCGGGCTGCTGGCGGCGACAGCGCCGTGGGCGACGCCGAGGATGCCCCGTGGCCCATGCAGAAGAGGCGTAGGGGTCGACCGCCTACTCGAGTACTCCCCGATCCGACATCACCGAGCTTATCCTTGGGGCGCAGTGAGCCCCTGGGGCCATTGCGCCGCCGTTCGAACTGCAGTCTCCAGAGGAGGGGGCTGATTTGGACAGTTTTCTTGATTCAACTCCTGCGCCAACGAGAGCGTCGCTCCGCTCGGGCCAGATTCGCGCCCCGCGCGACCGCCCCTGTTCCCCGCGGCCGGACAGAATAGCATTGCAGCGTTATTCGTTATTGCGAAGGCCTTGCGGCCGGCGCCGCCGACCCTGTAGGCGACGACGACGACGACGACGACGGCGGCGACAGCAACGACGACGACGACGACGACGGCGACGGCGACGGCGACGGCGACGGCGACGGCGACGGCGACGGCGACGGCGATGGCGACGGCGACGACGCCAACGACGCGGACGACGGCGACGGCGACGACGGGCGCAGGGGCAGTTTTGGGGCTTCTTGGGAGCGCCTTGGGGGCCTGTTGGGGGCCCCGGGGGGCATGCTGCGGCCTTTTGTGGGTCTCCTGGCTGCTTCTCGGGACCTCCTGGGCGTCTCTTGGGAGCCTCTTGGGGCTCCACGGGGCATCTTGCAGCGGTTGTCTAGAATTTGCCGTTCGCGGTCCCTCTCTGGGGCCCCTCGTGGGGCCGTCTCCCGGGCCTCTCGCGGGCTGCCTCGGGGCCCCCCCGGGCTCCGCCAAGCCGTCCGGGGGCGGTCCCAGGCGCCTCTCGGGCCGTTTTGGAGCGTCGGAAAGCCGAGAATGCAGAGGCGCGCGCATGTTTCAAGAACTTCACGATGTCCAATGCTTTGAGCCTCGTATGGGGTCCTCTCGGGACGCCTTGTGGGGCGCTCTTGGGCGTCTCTGGGGCCCCTCGGGCAGTCTTGGTGCCAGTCTTGGAGACCTCTTGGGCCGACTGGAGGTTGTCCTGGCTTCTTGGGCCGATGGTCTTGCGATTCGGGGCCCAGTCGAACTGTCCCGGGCGCCTCTTGGCCGTCGTGGAGATTTCTCGGGCCCTGGGGCCTCCCCGGGGGAGGCGCCTCCGAGCGGCGACGCCCCGTCCGCGACCCCCTCCCGCCCAGGGCAGCGAGCGCGAGCGGCTTTTTCGACGCGGGGGCGGCGACGTCGACGACGAGTCCCTCAGCGAACAGCGTCTTGACGACGACGAACCGTGTCTTCCGCGCGCCGACAGGTCAACGGATTCTTGGGACTTGGCTGCGCGTAATCAATAAGTTGTCTAGAAAAGCGACTGCCCTCCTGTCGGATTGCAAGCGGGCGGTCGACGGCCAACCGGTTGCCGGCATTCAAGCGCGCATTTTCTGGAAGGGGGGCGGCGGGCGCATCGGTCGAGCCCCTCCTCGTCGACGTTCGCTCGCCAACGGCAGACCCGCCGCCGATCGGTGGACTCGTGCCTCCGTGCGCCAAGAACTGCCAATGACGCTCGTTATGTATGTTTGTTCGCGATGTCTTGAGTTCTGCGTTCCGTGGTTCATTGTCTTGATGTGTATTTAGCTGTAGTTCTTTCCTCTTGTCGGCAGCGCATGACAGGCCCTTGGCGTGCCTTGATAGCCCTTGTCAAGCTCTGGTGACACGTGACAGCCCTCGGCAAGCCCTGGGCAGAGTCGAATGTTGTCACGGGTCGAACGCGGACAGATTGGATCTCCTAGTTAACATTGGTTAGGGCCTAGGTTTCTTACGATGGACAGGATAGAGCTCCCCGCGCGCGTGGAGTTCTGTAGTGCGCACAATCGAATAGTCGCAATGCTAGAATGTATTCTAAAATGAACCCTTAGCGGTGGCCGCCGGGATTTCGGGTGGCCCGCGGGGCGGGCGGGCCGCTCGCCGCGCGCGCGCGAGCGCGTGGCGAGTTCTGTATGCCCACAACTGGAAAGTCGCCATTGCGGGCGGGAAACGCAAGTGAACCCTTAGCGGCGACGGACTTGATGTTGAAGTGAACGTTGGTCTTGGCGCGCGATCTCACGCGTGATCCATGCAGAAATTCCGGGCGCGCGTGCGCGTCAGCAGTTTTTGTATTGTCCGCAGTTGGAAAGTTGCCATGCTGGCTGGGAAAGCCTAGTGACCCCCCTTAGCTGCGACCGACAGGATTTTGGGTGACCCGCGCAGTCCTGTGATGTCCACGGTAGGAATGTCGCCATGCTGGTTTTGAAACTAAAGTCAACCCTTAGCGGTGACCGACAGGATTTCGGGTGGCCCGCGCGGTGGGACTCAGGGGTTCGTGTGTTGCACAACGCGGACAGCGACGAGGGCGCGGCCCACTCCGACGCCTCCTGTCGCGGGTTGAAAACGCGGAGGCGTTGTCTCCTGAACCGCTGGACGTGTGCATTTTGCTTCGGGCATCGTTGCTGACGCCTGCCCAGCATTGCGCGCCTTCGACAAGAGGCGCGAGGAGGGGTCTCGAGAGGTACCGCCCGTGATGCACCCTGCGCCTCACTACGAACTCCTTGCTAGCATGCGTATTGCGTTGGCGTCTGTGTGTGTGTATCGATGCCGTGTTGGCTCTCAAGATGTTGAGGTGGAAACATTGGTAATCGATCATGTTGTTAGGACTGCAGAAGAGCGCCGCGCTGGCCGATGAAAAGAGGACAACTTGAGCACCAACGGGCGGCGCCATCGGGGGCGCATGGGCCCCATGGTGGGGGGAGACGGACGGCCGCTAGGTCGCTCGGGTGGCCTCTCTTCTTCCTCGACGAAGCGAACGGAGGCACGTCGACGAAAAAACGCGTAAACCAAATTTTCTTGTCGGGGCCTGTGGTCCGTTCGAGCGCAAGCCGCTTCGAACAAACGTGTTTTTTTTGAAGGGCCACTGTTTGCGTGTTCATGCGAATATTGGAATGGGGGGCGCTGGGGGTGACGTTGCTCCGTTCCTTGAGTTTCTTGGGTCGGTGTTTTTGTCCGACAACACCAGCACCTGCTTAGAAAAAGGGGGGAGGAGGAGGAGGAGGAGGAGGAGGAGGAGGAGGAGGAGGAGGAGGAGGAGGAGGAGGAGGAGGAGGAGGAGGAGGAAGGAGGAGGAGGAGGAGGAGGAGGAGAGGAGGAAGGAGGAGAGGGAGGAAGGAGGAGAGGGGAGGGAGGGAGGAGGGAGGAGGAGGAGGGAGGAGGGGGAGGAGGGAGGAGGAGGAGGGAGGAGGGAGGAGGGAGGAAGGAGGAGGGAGGAAGAGGAGGAGGAGGAGGAACTCCCCCCACACCCATCAAAGCGCACGGAGGAGGAGGGCCCTCGTGTATCAATTCCCCGCATCCGTGAATCTGTGAGGAGAAGGAAAAGGAGGGAAGAGCCTCGTTCTCACCCTTTGCCGCGAAGGTGGACGAGGGGGGAGTGGCTCGATCCTCGCCCTGGACGCGCCTCCGACCCGATCCCGCAGGGCGGGATATCGCTGGACAGCACGATTGAGGACGACGTGTTCGACACCAAGGATCTCTCTCTCTCTCTCTCTGGCCTTTCTCTCGCCAACTCTGTATGCTGCTTCTTCTCTCTCTCTCTCCCTCTCTCTCTCTCGTTTTGTTGCTGTTCCTCGTTTTCTTGCTTTGCTCTCTCTCTCTCTCTGTATCTCTCTCTCTCTTCTTTGTTTTTGGTTTGTTCTCTCTCTGTCTCTCTGTATATATATACGCATAAACATATCACGGGGCACCGGGTCCGGGGGCCCGGGGGCCGCGACCCCTCCTGCAAATGCGTGGCCCGGAGGGCGGTCCCGCCTTCGGGGGGTCCCCCAAAGCAAAGCGCCCAGGAGAGCGGTCCGACGGGCGCCACGGCGCCCCAAGACAGTCTCGGGGTGCCCGACGGCCTCCAGGGGCGTCCGACGGCTCACGAGGCGTCTCCAACGGTCTCTGAGGCGTTCACGACGCTTGAAGACCCCTCAAAGTGGTCCCCCAAGAGGGCCCCGGCAAGCGAAACTCGTCCCATTCCTTTGGCAAAGCGTACATGTTTAGCATGTTCGCTTTTTTGGTCTTCGTACCGTCCTCGACGACCTCAGAGGTTCCCAAGACCGCCCCAAGATGGCCCAAGAGGCCCCCAAGAGGGCCCCAAAACGGCCCAACAGAGTTGAAGACGGTCCAAGAGGCCCCCATGACGGCCCAAACGAGCCCCTAAAAAGCCCGAAGAGAGGCCCAACTGAGATTTCGACCGTTCCGCCCAGAGGGGGCCCCACAGGCCCCCAAGAGGCCCCCAAGAAGCCCCCAGGAGGCCCCCAAGACGCCTGCGAGAGGCCCCAAGAGGCCGCCAAGAGGCTTCCAAGGTGCTTCCAGGAGGCCCCAGGAGGCCCCCAGAAAGCCCCCAGGAGACCCCTCTGGGGCCCCAGGAGGGCCTCAGAGAGACTTGCCAAGAAACCCGAATATAAATCTACGAGATGCCTCTGGTCCACAACCTGGGCCCGTTCCTGCGGTGCCGCCTGATCGGCACAGGGTTTGCTTGTATGTGTCTGTCTATGTATGTGTACGTATGTACGTGCGCATGTATGTCTGCATGCATGCAATACTGTACGTCAGTGTTCATGTTGGTGCGCATGTAAGCGGGAAGAGAAGTCGCTTGGCCTGGCGAAGGGCCCACCCCTATGCAGCTGCGTGCTGCACAGGGCGCGGCTCTCTCTCTCTCTCTCTCGGGGGGGGGGGGAGGGAGGGACAGTCTCCCGCACCCAGGGAGCAACCAGGCCCGGGCAAGGCAGCTGGCGGCGGCTCCCCGGTGCGAAACCACACCAGCCCGCGAGCGACAGGAACGCCAGAACATTAGGAGGAGGAGGAGGAGGAGGAGGAGGAGGAGGAGGAGGGGTCGCTGCGGAGCTGGCGCGCGTAGGCGCGCCGAGCTCTCTGTGGGGCGCGGTTCCGCGTAAAGGGGGCGGCCGCCGCGCGGGCGGCCCCCTGAGGCCGCAGGTGTAGCCCCTTGTGGAGCGCGATCCGCGCGCAGCGGCGCCGTAACGGGCGCGGGGACGCCATGCGAAATTGCCCATGGGTGCCATATATGGTCCAGGGCTTGGTCCGTCGTCGTCGTCGTCGTGGTCGTCGTCGTCGCCGTCGTCGTAGTCGTCGGAGTCGTCGTCCTCGTCGTCGTCGTCGTCGTCGTCGTCGTCGTCGTCGTCGCCGTCGTCGTCGTCGTCGTCGTCGTCGTCGTCGTCGTCGTCGTCGTCGTCGTCGTCCTCGTCGCGGTGGGGGGGGGGGCCCGAGGAATCCTGGGACCACACCATCTGGGGGGGGGGCCCGTGGGCCCGGAGCCCGGGACCATATATGAATATCCTTGCAGGGTACGATCCGCGTCAGGGGTGTGGCGAAGTATGCGGAGGGACGCCCTGCGACCCCTCCTGTTGGAGCCGTCGGTGGAGCTCCCTATGGGGCGCGATCCGTGCGGGGGGTGAGCCGACACGGGCGTGAAGACGCCATGCGAACCGTCTCTCTGGGGCCGTGGGTGGAGCTCCCGTTGGGCCACGATCCCTGTTGATCGAGGGGCTTCACATTTTCCTCCGTCGTCCTTAGGGGGCGGATGGAACCCAATCTTTTTTCAACGCCTTCCTACTTCATGTTTATACCTACCTCTTCCGACCGATGGGTATACTTAAGTGGCAAGTGCATGCCATAAATCGCACGTTCGTGCCCAGGTTCACACGTAGCTTGCAACGCTCAGCTTGCGCCACATAAATAGTAACATACACACAGTGCATCACATAGCTAGCCACGCATGGCTAAAACCACGATGTTTTCACCATATAGCCTGCGCATTCCGATTCCTCCGGTCCGATTCGAATCAAGTTCCAGGGATGCCGATTCGAACCGACTCGATATTGACATTCTGATGCGCGATTCCATCCTCGGGTTCACCCGAGTCAGCGCGGCGCCGATTCCAGTGCCAACCGATGTGATTCGATCTCGTGGCGATCCAGCGTCGAACCCCCCTTCAGTGCAACCCCCCCCCCCCGACCAGGGCCTGCGGCACGAACTCGCACACCCTCGTTGGAGGGGCTGGGGCCCACGACCTCTCGGAGGGGGGTTGGGGACCCCCCCCCCTCGGAGACAATTTGGGGCCGCAAGCCCCCCTCGGGTGGTCCCGCGCCCGAACCCCCGCGGATGCGCTGGGCCCCGCCTCGTACTTTCAGTCCGCCCTGGGATGAGTACGACTGCGAAGGCGACTGCGTGCAGCGACGGACGACGACAGGGGGCCACATGCGAACCCTACCCCTACCCCCCACGATTTCTGAGGGGGAGGGGGGGTGTGAACCCCACCCTCCCCCTCAGATATCGTGGGGGGTAGGGGTAGGGTTCGCATGTGGCCCCCTAGACGGCGAATTCGACCAGTACGATGACGAGTATGACGATGTTCGGCGACGAGCGCGTCTAAATTCGACGACGGGTGCGATGACGCCGTCAGTTGCGCCGGTTTCAGAATCGATCCCTCTCGGCCTTGCCGATGCCTGCCGACTTGATGGCATCTCCGATTCTTAGCCGGTGCTTGCCGAATCGATGTTCGGATCGATCCGATTCGACTTGTCGATTCGATGCCAGGGTCGCCTGCATTGCTCGGACCACGTGGCTTGCACAGCATAACTTTCACGACATCGTACCAACCACATCGCTTGCAACACATATTATCGAAGGCGCCTACGGCGAATCACCGCCGCCCCTTGTCTTTTTCGAAGCGCCTATGTGACCGACGATGTGGCCATAGCTCGGCCAAACTATCGGACTATCTGTTCCCCCAACCGTTGTGGAAACCCTTCGGGGAAAACGTGGGGGAGAAAGAAGAAGAATACTAATGATAATGATAATAAACATAGCAATGCTAATACTATTCGTCATAATCGCAGTAGTAGTAACAATACTAATCATAATATGTGTGTACATAACCCCTAATCCAGGTGTGCGGTGCTATGCTATGCATTGCCATGCTGAAAGGAGTTGGGCTAGATGCTGTGACTTGTACTGTAAACTGAAGGCTTATAAGCGAATGGCCCTACGGGGCTGGCGGTGTGTAAAGTGCATTGCAGATCTGGACTAGACAGCAGTTCCTATCGAGACTTTGTTCGACGCCCCTATGGCTCAAGTCCGCTCTGAGAGAAACAGACACGAGCCCTCGTTTGTCCCCGTGGTAGTGGAGCCCTTGGTGTGAGGTCCGCGGACCACTCGCGGGTTCCTGGCGCCCCCGCGGTGCGCCCTTGTCGCCGCGCTGCGCCGCGCTCGACCGCCTGAGGCGCGAGCGCAGTCGAGGGCGACAGCGAGGCGGCGGACAGCCTGCTCAGCGAGATGGGCGACCAACTGCCACCGCTAGTGGATACAAAGCTACTGGGCAAGCCCATCTCGTACGGTTGACAACGATTGGATTGGCAGCAGTGGAAGCAGATGTTCAAGGCCTACGTCGGAGCGCTGGACACGGAGCTGGCGGAAAACATGGATTCTTCAGAAGCGCAGCGGGACCCGATCCCCACATGATCAGCTGAGCCCAGAGAAGAAAGAGCACAGCAGAACGTTGACGTTCATCCTGAGTCAAGTGCTCACAAGCGCGTCGCTCCAGCTGGTCATGAACGCTCCATGGCCTGGAGGCGTAGAGGCGACTTGTCCAGCAGGAGGAGCCAGCTGCGGGTGCGGCGCAGGTCACGCAGCTGATGGGGATTCTGAGTGCCAAGTTCGATGGAGCACCAGCCACCTTCGCGGAGCAGCTCCAGATGCTCGAGGGTCGGTTCCAGCTCTACGAGAAGCAGCATAGTAACAAGACAAGCGGCACGCCCAAGCAGGCAATCTTGAAGGCCAACGAGCCAGCATCCATCAAGTCGCAGATCGACCTGCAGGCGTTCGCGTCGGCTAACGACCTAAGAGGAGACGGTGAGTAACTACATGCAGCTCCAGACCAGCAGCAGCAGCAGTAACGGTGCAGCTCCGATGGACACTGGCGTCATAATTCTGGGCAAGACCGACGGTAAGGGCAAGACAGTAAAAGGTAAAGACACCGAAGGCAAGGACACGAACAAGGGCGATTCAATGGGCAAGACGAGCAGCAAGAGCAAGGGAGATGGCAAAGGTAAAGCTGGTGGACGAGGCAGAGGAGTCGAGTGCCACCGATGCGGACAACGAGGACACATTGCTCGAAATTGCAGGCACCTTCCAGTCAACGCAGACGAGGTCAGCCAGGGCGCGGCAGGAAATGGAGGCGATGCTCCTGGGGCAGCTCAATCTCAAGATGGGCACGTCTAGGAGATAGCAGGCCAGCAAGGTGACCAGCGGATCTTCATGATCAGCGAGACGGGCACCAACGCGGTCGCAGGCGACGAGGACCCGACGTTCGAAAGCTTCGCGCTCACACGTCGCGCCCAAAGAGCATGCCGAGCACGCGCAGGTGACGGATGTCTCGGTGGAGCCAGAGCTGCGCTAGGGTATTGGTAAGCAGCTAAGTGTATGTGGACGGCGACTCGTCCCTTCCTCCATTATCTCGCGCGCGCAT